CCCCATTAGACTCCCAGCTGGGCTCTGACTCCCAGTGAGGCTCCCAGCTGGGCTCTGACTCCCAGTGAGGCTCCCAGCTGGGCTCTGACTCTCCCAGTGAGGCTCCCAGCTGGGCTCTGACTCCCAGTGAGGCTCCCAGCTGGGCTCTGACTCTCCCAGGGAGGCTCCCAGCTGGGCCCTGACTCTCCCAGTGAGGCTCCCAGCTGGGCTCTGACTCTCCCAGGGAGGCTCCCAGCTGGGCCCTGACTCTCCCAGTAAGGCTCCCAGCTGGGCTCTGACTCCCAGTGAGGCTCCCAGCTGGGCCCTGACTCTCCCGGGGAGGCTCCCAGCTGGGCTCTGACTCTCCCAGTGAGGCTCTCAGCTGGATTCTGACTCTCCCAGTGAGGCTCCCAGCTGGGCCCTGACTCTCACAGTGAGGCTCCCAGCTGGGCTCTGACTCTCCCAGTAAGGCTCCCAGCTGGGCTCTGACTCTCCCAGTGAGGCTCCCAGCTGGGTCTGACTCTCCCAGTGAGGCTCCCAGCTGGGCTCTGACTCTCCCAGGGAGGCTCCCAGCTGGGCTGACTCTCCCAGGGAGGCTCCCAGCTGGATTCTGACTCTCCCAGTGAGGCTCCCAGCTGGGTCTGACTCTCCCAGTGAGGCTCCCAGCTGGGCTCTGACTCTCCCAGGGAGGTTCCCAGCTGGGCTCTGACTCTCCCAGTGAGGCTCCCAGCTGGGCTCTGACTCTCCCAGGGAGGCTCCCAGCTGGGCTCTGACTCTCCCAGTGAGGCTCCCAGCTGGGCTCTGACTCTCCCAGGGAGGCTCCCAGCTGGGCTCTGACTCTCCCAGGGAGGCTCCCAGCTGGGCTCTGACTCTCCCAGTGAGGCTCCCAGCTGGGCTCTGACTCTCCCAGGGAGGCTCCCAGCTGGGCTCTGACTCTCCCAGGGAGGCTCCCAGCTGGGCTCTGACTCTCCCAGGGAGGCTCCCAGCTGGGCCCTGACTCTCCCAGTAAGGCTCCCAGCTGGGCTCTGACTCCCAGTGAGGCTCCCAGCTGGGCCCTGACTCTCCCGGGGAGGCTCCCAGCTGGGCTCTGACTCTCCCAGTGAGGCTCTCAGCTGGATTCTGACTCTCCCAGTGAGGCTCCCAGCTGGGCCCTGACTCTCACAGTGAGGCTCCCAGCTGGGCTCTGACTCTCCCAGGGAGGCTCCCAGCTGGGCTCTGACTCTCCCAGTGAGGCTCCCAGCTGGGTCTGACTCTCCCAGTGAGGCTCCCAGCTGGGCTCTGACTCTCCCAGGGAGGCTCCCAGCTGGGCTGACTCTCCCAGGGAGGCTCCCAGCTGGATTCTGACTCTCCCAGTGAGGCTCCCAGCTGGGTCTGACTCTCCCAGTGAGGCTCCCAGCTGGGCTCTGACTCTCCCAGGGAGGTTCCCAGCTGGGCTCTGACTCTCCCAGTGAGGCTCCCAGCTGGGCTCTGACTCTCCCAGGGAGGCTCCCAGCTGGGCTCTGACTCTCCCAGTGAGGCTCCCAGCTGGGCTCTGACTCTCCCAGGGAGGCTCCCAGCTGGGCTCTGACTCTCCCAGGGAGGCTCCCAGCTGGGCTCTGACTCTCCCAGTGAGGCTCCCAGCTGGGTCTGACTCTCCCAGTGAGGCTCCCAGCTGGGCTCTGACTCTCCCAGGGAGGCTCCCAGCTGGGCTCTGACTCTCCCAGTGAGGCTCCCAGCTGGGTCTGACTCTCCCAGTGAGGCTCCCAGCTGGATTCTGACTCTCCCAGGGAGGCTCCCAGCTGGGTTCTGACTCTCTCCCGAGCCTCCCAGGTCCGTGTGGCAAGTACCCGGCCTGTTTTGCGCTCTCCTGCATCTCCAGCCCTCGGATGGGCTTGGCACACGGTAAGCGCCGGACACATGCTTATGACGTGCGCACGGGACAGCAGGTGTGGCAAAGGGGCAGAAAGTGGCTGTGGATAGGCAAAGAATTCTGAAGGCAAAGCCATGAAATCTCAACAACCTGCTGAGTGCTAACAAGGGAGATCATACATTTAACTCCAAAACACAAAATCAGAAACTCAGGTCAAGTTACCGCTCTGATCTATTCCTCTGTATGTCACGCCATGCATTTAATAAGTTTATAGCACTTCTGTACTTATTATTAGCTCCTCACACATTTCTCTGTGCTTCTGGCACTCACTAGCAAGAATTTCTTGTGTTGCCATCTGCTCTCTCCAACTAACTTGTGTAGAGCAAGAAAAGGTTTCCAAAGAGGATTATTCTTGAAAACACATGCCAGGCTCTACTGATCATGAAGAGGCCCGCTTTCTTCTTTAGGAACACACCTCATGTGAAAAAAATGCTCTTTCAGCCCAGCCAGTGTGGCTCAGTGGATGAGTCCCATGAATCAAGAGGTCACTGGTTCGATCCCTGGTCAGGGCACACGTTCCGGTTGCATGCTTTGTCCCCAGTAGGGTACGTGCAGGAGGCAGCTGATTGATGTTTCTCTCACATCGATGTATCTATCTCTCTCTCCCTTCCTCTCTCTGAAATAAATATCTTTAAAATATATTTAAATATATATATATTAATATAAACTATAGAGCCAGTCTGCCCAAGTTCAGAAAATATTGCCATCATTCACTAACTCCTGGTCAAGTCCCTTAACCTCTCTGTATCTAAGTGTCTCCCTGTTAAAATAGGAATCAAAATAACACCCACCTCATAGAATTTTTCTGAGCATGTGATGAGTTAATACATATATGTAAAGATTAAATAATACCTGGCATATAGTAAGTGCTACATGCATGCTAACCATTTTTCTTAGTTTAAATTGAGTATGGCCCTAGCTGATTTGGCTCAGTAGATTGAGTGTCAGCCTGCTGATCAAAGTGTCCCAGGTTCAATTCCAGTCAAGGGTACAGACCTGGGTTGCAGACTCAATCCCCATTAGGGGGTGTGCAGGAAGCAGCCGGTCAATGTTTCTATCTTTCTCTCTCTCATCCTCTCCCTTTCTCTCTGAAATCAATAAAAATATTTTTTGTTCCAAAAATACATCCTTCCAAAGTTTCCTGCCAAGTTTTAAACACTAAAATATTCTCTTTTAAAATGATACTAGATTTTTTTGGAGGCAATGTTTTAATCTATATCCCACCTCAATTGAAGATGACTTCAGAATTGTCTGGGTGAGAATCTAAGGCCATAGTCTAGTAAACGGGCAGGGAGCTGTCCCACGCTGGAACTCAAACAGGTGAACGTCAGCCCGGGCTCGGGCGTGCGCGTACAGAGGACTGGAGGACTCACCTCAAAGTTGTACTTCTTCATCCGGCTGAGCCGCCGGCAGTACAGGTAGAGCATGCCGGTGCTGCTGCCCACGGCGATGTAGTCTGCGCTGGTGTCGAGCGCGGTCAGGTAGACGGCCACAGAGCGGAAGCCCTTCTGGATCTTCGTGGGAATGGCGTTGAGGAGATAATACAAAGGGCAGAACTCCCTGAACGTAACTGGCTCCAGTGGGGAGGCCATGGCCACGGTTCCCTCGGCGGATCTTCAGGAAGGGCGAGGAGTGCTGACTTAGCATCTGGGGACCCCTGGGGGCTAGAGAACAGAGAGAAGTCGTGTTCCATAGCAGGAACAGGAACGTTCAGGAGGGTAGAAATCAGCTGGAGCCGAACTAACTGGAGAAAGCAAGCCAGCTGTCATTCAGACCACTTTTTTTGGGGGGAGGGGCATTTAAATTGATTTCAGAGAGGGAGAGGAGAGAGAAACATCAATGATGAGAATCATAGATCAGCTGCCTCCTACAGGCCTCCCACTAGGGATCTAGCCAGCAACCGGGGCATGTGCCATTGACCAGGAATCCAACTGTGACCCCCCTGGTTCAAAGGCCTTCCCCAGGTCACAGGCACAGCTCTGACAGATAGGGCAGCTACAGGTGGGCGCTCTGCACCTGACCAGCTGGTGGGACACCTGACCAGCTGGTGGGGCACCTGACCAGCTGGAGGGGCACCTGACCAGCTGCATGGGCACTGACCAGCTGGTGGGGCACCTGACCAGCTGGTGGGGCACCTGACCAGCTGCAGGGGCACCTGACCAGCTGCATGGGCACTGACCAGCTGCAGGGGCACCTGATCAGCTGGAGGGACATTGAGCCCTGTGGGCTCATGGAGACCTCAAGCCCTCGCGGAAGCGTCCGGTGCTGGGTCGCAGCCTGTGTCAGCGCTGTGTTTCCTATGTCTACGGAGCTGGTGACTGACCTCCAACCTTCCACGGCGGATGCGCGTTCCCGGCCATTCAACACTCCTCCCCGGCCTCCCCGGCCCCTCAGGCAGAGGAGTCCACCCAAGTGCAGCTCGTCCTGGGCAGCCCAGGCCCTCGGCAGCCCAGGCGGTGCGCGGGCGGCACCCCGCCGCCAGCTGACAGAGGCGACAGAACAAAGCCGGAATCCCGGGGGAAAGCGGGGCGGGAGCGGGGCAGAGGCGCGGAGGCACAGCCGTCCTTCGGGCACGGGCACGGGCACACCGACCCCGCCGGGCACTGGGCTAGCGCCTCGCCTGCCAGCCCCGTCAGCCTCCGCCGACGCCGCAGAAACGAGGCCTCCGGTCCACAGGGATGACCGTCTCCGCCGGCGCAGAGCCGCGGCTGCGGACCTGCCCACCGCACCGGCCCGCCCGCTCCCGGGTCGCTGTGCGCACCCCGGGGACGAGCCAGTTCTGGGGGCCCCGAGGCTGGCGGCGGCGGAGGGGACGGGGGCGGCGGGGGAGGGGGCGGAGCCGGGAGCCGGAGCCGGAGCCGGAGCGGGGGTCGCGGACGGGGGCGGCGTGGGCGGAGCCGGGAGCCGGCGAGGGGCGGGCGCTCCGTGAGGGGAACCAGCCTCGGCGGGCGGGCGGGCGGCCCTGAGGCACCGGGCGCGGGGCGCGGGCGCACTCACCTCCCGCGGCGGCCCTCGGACGCGCCCCTCGGACGGGGGCGGCGGAGGCGGGGAGGCCGGGCCGCGGGGGCTGCCGGGAGCCCGTTCCCTGGGCCCCGGGCCCGCCCCACCGGACACAGCCGGCTCCTGGGGGCTGGAGCGGCAGCGCCTCCAGCGGCGACAGGAAGTGACGCGACTTCCGGCGCGGGGGCGGGGCTCCGGCCTCCTTCCGGGGAGATCAGCCGCATGGAACGTGCGTGAGTCGGGCCCCTGTCCGGGCGGGTGGGGGCGGGAGCCGCGGGTGGGACGGGGTCCCGCGGGGCCCTGCCGGCGGCCTGGGCCGGCAGTTGGCGGAGCCTCGGTTCCCGGCGCGGGGCGGGTGCCGCCTGCCGGTGCCGCAGTCCGACCCTCCCGGGGCGGCTGTCCTGCGGCGTCAGCGGCCGCGGGGCGCTCCGGAGCCCGGTCAGAGCCGCGCGCATTCCAACCAGGGTGTCCCCGGAGGCGCACGCGCACGGAGGGGTTACGAAGGCGGCGTTTGTTAAAAGATTTCATTTTCACAACTGAACTGCCAGCTGATTAGTCAATAAACTGCTCTCCGGAGTTCTGAGAGCCTCTAGCAATTTAATCAAACCCAGGGGAGGTATAGCAGGTCGGCCGGGAGCACTGGAACAGACAGCCTGCCCTGAGAAGGGGAAGGTTGGGGGCAGGGACAGTCTTGTAGGACTGAGCCCTTATCCTGAGGGACCCGAGACCCTCTTCGGGAAATAGCGTCAGGACAGAGGATATTCCTGGGTGGAGATGGAAGAACACACTGGAGAGGTCCCCGTGGTAACACGAGGCCGGATACTTGCCATGTGCAGGCCCTCACAGCTTGACATCTATTATCTAACCTTTACATAAACTCTTTGAAGTAGATATATCGCACCCCCATTTTACAGATGAGAACATTGAGGCTCTGAGAGGTTAATTAACGTGCTCGAGATTGCACAACTGGCAAGGGCAGAGTTGGAGTTCTAATCCAGTCCGGATGGTCTTTAGAATCTAGACTCCAAACTGAACGCTGTGTGTGTTGGACTCCTCCAGGGCCTCCCACAGAGTCTGGACTTCATCCCGTGGGCCAGGAGTAGCCTTTGAAGGGAAGGCACAGGATGCCTGGAAGAGGGTTGGCTTTTAGGTCTGAGGGTTGCTTCCTGCAGGAGCTGGGATGCCGGTGAGTCTTGGAGCATGGGCAGCACTAGCCCAGGAAAGGGAAGAACTTTCTAGCAGAAGGAACTGTATGTGCAAAGACCTGCAGGTGACTCCACTTTCCAGGATCTGCCAGGAGTTCATTTTAGCTGTAGATTAAGGGGGTCGCAGGTGGGGGTTCAGGTGGACAGGAAGCAGGTCCTGAAGGACTGGGACTACCTTCTGAGTCCTCTGCATGGAGGTGACCGGTGCACCTCCCATGCCAGCCTTGCGGTGTCTGGAGAACCCCCAAGCTCTGGTCAGATGTGAGGCATCAGAGTGCCTGAGGCCATGATGAGAGCACTGGGCTGGGGCATGGAGGGTTTGGGCACAACTCCGCCCTATCCCCAACCTTTGGAAATGGTCAGAGTGCCCTGACTGGTGTGGCTCAGTTGGAGCAGCATCCCACACACCAAAGGGGATCAAATCTCCGTCAGGGCACAAACCCAGGTTTCGGGTTTGATCCCCAGTTGGAGTGTGTGCGGGAGGCAACCAATCGGTGTTTTTGTTTCCCTTTTCCTCTCTTAAAAAAAAAAAATTAAAAAATAAGAATAAAGACATTCATTGAAAGTGGTCAAAGTGCTTAAGGTAAAACTTTGTGGAGCCATTAAGCTGAGAAAGGACTCAACCATTTCCGGAGAGTCTTCAAATGTGAAAATAGTTGTTTTTCTTGTTCTGGGAACTTCCCCAGTCATCATCCATCTTCATTACCACGCCCTCTGTCCAGAAGATGTAGCCTTTCAGATTGGCTTACATTAAGAGTTATGAGGACATTTGCCCTCCAGCTGTGATCAATAATTTCACAAGAATTTCACAATAATTACTTTTCTTTTACTGTCTATCAGCAAAGACCCTTGGAAGTGCAACGTCCCGAAAACCTGTCTTATCGGTTAGTGCGAGAAAAATTAAGGACAATGCAGCCGATTGGCATAATTTAATCCTGAAGTGGGAGGCCCTTAATGATGCAGGCTTTGCTACTGCAAATAACATCGCCAACACGAAACTCAGTTTACTGTAAGTACTGCCTGTGCCCCTCCGAGTTAAGCCTCCTAAGGTTGCATATTTCTTGTGCTGTTGTGATTTATATAACAAATATCTGTTTGGTTTTTCTCCACAGCTCCAGAAATCCTTATAATTTCCCAGTTGATTGGAGCGATGGGAGAATTTTTTGTTATAATGTTTGGTATTTTGTCCTCAAATAGTCTGGTTCCGGGAATAGCTTCAGGAGGAAAGGAGTGTCCGCTCGTTGGTAACAAGCCCCTTCCCACCAGCCTGAGTTTATGTTAGGTGATATCTGGAAAGCCCCCAAGGAGGGGAGTGTTGCCAAGGGAAGCAACCAGGCCATTGGCATCATCCCTCCGGGAGGCGAGGGGCTGGAAGTTGCATCAGTCACCAGTGGCCGGTGGTCCAGTCCATCCTGCCTGCATAATGACACCTCCATAAAGTCCCAAGAGCAGGAGAACCTCCGAGTTGTAAACAGGGACACCTTGATGTGGGAAGGGACCGGAGCTCCTGTTCGGGGCCCTTTTGGACCTCGCCCTGTGCGCCTCTTCATCTGGCTGCTCTTCCATGGCCTTTGTCATAAGCTGGAACCTACTGAGTAACCTGTTTTCCTGACTCCGTGAGTCACTCTAGCAAACTACTTGAACTGGAGGATGGGGTGGTGGGACCCCTGGATTTATAGCCTGTCAGTCAGGAGTACAGGTACCAACTTGGACCCCTGGGAGGTCCTGCTGTGTTTCCAGGTTAGATTAATGTATAGACGGTGTCACCAAAATACACACACTTTGAAGGATTATAAAGCAGTGTTTACTAAAATACATTTCATTCTCAAAATGAAATTATCAGCTGTCAACTATGTATCCACTTTTGGGAACACCCTGTATACATGTTTTCTTAAACTTCTCAAAGTTCTAATTACATGAGTGGCCAGATTATTATGATCTCTGAATGTATAATAACCTAGACACTCAAGTGTGTGTGTGTGTTCTCTAATGGCCTGGTTGGTTCCCTTGGCAACCACCCCCCTCCTTGAGGCTTTCCAAATATCACCTTGTTAACATAAACTCAGGCGTGGTGGGAAGGGGCTTGTTACAAATGAGCGGACATTCCTTTCCTTCTGTAAGTACTGCCCATGTACTTACATTAAATTATATTAAGCAAAAAATATAATTTAAAGGTGCATGAATTCGTGCATGGGTGGGGTCCAGCCAGCCTGGCCAAGGGGAAGGAACATGGGCGGTTGGCCAGCCTGCCTGCTGGTGGAACTCCTGGTCGAGGGGACAGTTTGCATATTAGCCTTTTATTCTATAGGATAGACACTGAGTGGCCAGATTATCATGCATTCAGAGATCATAGCGACCTGGCCACTCGGTGTGTATACGAACATCCTCCAGCTCACTGGTGCCTACAGGCCGAGCCAGGCTTTCCTCGCTGGCCAGGCCACCAGCGCCCTTTCTTCACATCATGCGCCTCAAGCCTCCACTCCTTTCCTGGAACTGCATTCTCCATCCTCTTTAATGTGGAATTTCCTCCGTCAGTGCCGCTGTGACTGTTCCATGGGGTCACAGCCTCGGTCTGCACAAGGCACCCCAGCTGTGAACTCTGGGGAGTGGCCCCGTCTTCGCCATCTTACCCACACCCCACCCTCCACCAAGGGGGCCACAGGTTGAGTGTAATTGGCTTTTTCTCATGCAAATTGAGTCACTGATGGACGTGTTCGTTGCACATGTCAGTGAGTGAACACGTTTAAGGACCCGCAACACCTACAGCAAATCTGACAGCGTCACGTGGATGTCGAGTGTGCGCGAGCTTACGGACTGTGATTGTTGCCACCTTCCATTTGGTCCAGGAGTCAAGACAAGATCGAGTCAGAGAGCCGCAGCCTGTCTTGCGATGAGAATGCCGAGCAGAGGCCGCGGGAATACAGCGCAGAACTGGAGGCGCTGTGCGAGGAGCTGCGGGCCACGTTAGATGGCTTGGTAAGACCCGGGGCCTGGCTACCTACCTGCTGCCCGACGCCCCGGGTGCGTCTGGGGTTGCCTGGCTCTCAGGACCCCGAGGCGGGCTTCCCCGCTCACACGTTGGATTTTCCCTCCTCCGCCTTCTCTGCTCGTCTCTTCCTCTGCCTGTCCCTAAGTCTGCCGTCCAAGATGCTGTCCTAGACCTTTGTCCTCTTGGTCCTGAGGCTGGCCGGGGCCAGGCCACCCCGCGCAGGGCTCCATGGTAAACACGCCCAGGCTCTGTGGGCCCCAGCATCTCTCGTCACCACTCGGCTCTGTCTGGAGGCGAATGGCTGTAGCTGTGCTGCAGCAAAACCTTATTCATGGACTCGGAAATTTGAATTTTATATAATTTTCATGTCTCATACATATTCTCATTTTCAACCATTTAAAAGCCCCATTCTTAGCTGGTAGCTTGCCCAGAAATAGGTTCTGTGGGCAGCTGGCCAGGGTCCTGGTCTGGCACAAGAACTGCCACAGGCTGTTTAATGGACTGATGACTGACCACCAAACATGGACCAGACACGCCACCTCTTTGCAGGGCACGGGGATAGGGGTTTGCACGTTTGAACTTGGATAACTATCACTCGCCCATGAACATCAAGTCTATATTTTAACTTCTCCTGATGGTAATGTTTCTTGGTTTGATGGGGACATCTCAGTAGTTTTAGCCTTTCCTTTTTTAAATATATTTTTATTGATATCACAGAGGAAGAGAGGAAGATGGAAACTTCAATGATGAGAGAGAACCATGGATCAGCTGCCTCCTGCACTCCCCCTACTGGGGAATGAACCTGCAACCCAAGCATGTGCCCTTGATCAGAATCAGACCCAGGACTCTTCAGTCCACAGACCTACCTTCCATCCACTGGGCCACACCAGCCGGCCGGCCTTTTCTCCGGACTGAAACGCAGTGCTGACTTCAGGCCATTCTGATGCACAGGCCACTTGTCTCCTCTCGGGATGAGGTCTCTGTGATAGTGCTGTCCTCTCACTCGGCCTTCCCTCTCCCCTGGGGGGTGCTGTGTTCAGGGACGGAGTGGGTATCCTTCCTTCACCCGCTTCCTCCTCAAAGAGGTTCCATAGACACAGGCAGTTGAAAGCATCAGAAATGAGCTCATTTAATGGCTCCCACCTTCCACAAGAGCAGGAGCCTGCCCGGGGGTTGAATCCGCCGGCCTTTGGTGCTAGAATGAGTGCCGCTGGGAAAGCCGAGCGAAGTGGGCTGCGGTGGGGCTGTTACTGAAGTGACCAGATGAGGGACGTCACAGCAGCCGTCTGCCTCCGGCCTGCACTTACTGCGCACGGAGCCAGCGGGGTGGAATTACTGGACTTTCGGTCTCGACAGACTTACATGTCTTAGCTGTGAAATCTTGAGCTGTTGAATCTGAGACTGGAGTAGGTTTCAAATCTTAGTCTCATATTCCAAATTAATATCTTTGCAGACCAAAATACAGGTGAAAATGGAAAAGCTGTCTTCTACCACCAAGGGAGTCTGGGAGCTGGAAAAGTACCATCACGGGCCGGACAGCAGCCAGCCGCCCATGTTTCACACATGGCCCACCGCCCACTTCTGTGAGTTCCCTCCGGGCGGGTGCGGTGCGTTCGGAGAGCCTTTGGCGCCATGTATACGGGCTGCCAACGCGCTGGCAGGCTCTGGCATTTAATTCAAGACATCCATTGGGAGGGGAGGAGCCTGGGGGATCTTAAATAAATAGAGCATTTATTATTGGCTTAATCACCTAATCAGCAAAGAGTAACAGAGACTTAGAGACCCATGCAGCAGGTTACAATTATTGGCCTTTTAAGCCACTGGGTAGAATGCAGAAAAAATTTTTTTTTTTTTTTAAGATAGTTTTTACCTTTTGCTTTGTTTAAGTAAAGATAAAACTTCAGCCGAAACTTGTTTGGCTCAGTGGATAGAGCGTCAGCCTGCGGACTGAGGGTCCCAAGTTCGATTCCGGTCAAGGGCATGTACCAGTAGGGGTGTGCAAGAGGCAGCTGATCGATATTTCTCTCTCACTGATGTTTCTAACTCTCTATCCCTCTTCGTTCCTCTCTGTAAAAAAATCAATAAAATATATTTCTTAAAAATATTAAAAAAGAAAAAAGATGAAACTTCAGTGAACCTCATGGGAGAAGGCTGCTTGGGAATGGAATCCTTTGCTTCCCTAAGCCCAGGCAGTCGGTTATTTTTAGCTTTATTGTTTAAAGAGGGCTAAGCCCCTGGGCAGTGATGACAGTCACCTTCCTAAGCGAGAAGGGCTGACACCACTAGTGGGTGTGTTTGGATTGTCAGGGGAGGCTCACCCACCGGTGAGCGCTGTGCGGGTTCCCAGTGCTGAGGTGACAGCCACTCTTCATTCCGGGTGCTGACCGCGTTCTGCCGAGCCCGCAGCCAGGTGTGATGCCTCCGCGCTTGGCCTCTGCGCCAGAACCGAGTGTGGCGTTCAGCCAGCAGCTTCCGCCCGGGCTTCCTGTTGGTCACTAACGGGAGACTCGCATGTGTTACAGACGAGGTGTCCCGCCGCCTCTCGGACATGTACGGGGCGGAGCTGCTGCTGAAGCGCACCATCGTGGAGGAGCTGGCGCACACCGCGGACCGCGACCTCTCCCTCACCTACCTGTCGCTGTGGCTGCACCAGCCCTACGTGCAGAGCGACAGCAGGCTGCTGCTGGAGGGCATGCTGCTCGAGACGGGGCACCGGGCACTGTGACTCCAGGCCGCCTGCTCCCCGGCCTCCGCAGCGCCCGCCGTGGACAGTCCTGCATGTAGGACCCAGGGCCATGCCCCGGCCCCCTTCTTGGGGTCGTCCAGACTGGACCGGTTCACCAGCTTCTCTCGGCCTCTGCAGACGCAGTGATGCTGCGAACTGCCTGCCACAGTGTCACGGTGCCCACGGTGAACCTGGCATCTGGAGGACCTCGGATGAAATAAATGAGTGTGATCCTGTTTCCGTAAACCAGGTGGATCTCACACAGGTGCCTTTGTGCAGCAGGTCCCTGGTTTTAGTTTCTACTTTATACTTACCTGTATTGTTTGAGTTTTTGAGACTAGTTTTATAATTACAGCTACTGTTTAAAACAAGTTTGCCCAGCTGGTGTGGCTCAGTGGTTGAGCGTCAACCCATGAACCAGGAAGTCAAAGTTCAGTTCCTGTTCAAGCACATGCCCAGGTTGCCAGCTCAATTCGGAGTGGGGGGTGCAGGAGGCAGCTAATCAGTTATTCTCTCTCATAATTGATGTTTCTCTCTCTCCCTCTCCCTCCCTCTCTGAAATCTGTAAAAAATATATTGCAATGGCTGGCTTGGCTTAACAGAGTGTTGGCCACAGACTGCAGGGTCCTGAGTTTGATTCTAGTCAAGGGCATTCATCTAGGTTGCGAGCTCAATCCCTGGCCCTGGTCGGGGCATGTGCATGAATCAACTAATTGCTCTCTCTCTCTCACATCTATGTTACTGTCTCTCCCCCTCCCTTCCACTCTCTCTAAAAACCAACGGAAAAATGTCCTCGGGTAAGGATTAACAAAGAACTGAAAATATTTTAAAAATACCAGAGATTACCGCGCCAAGATGGGCTCATGAAATGAAAATTCCTACAGAAAACTGGCCTGTTTGCATCCTGAGGTGCCACCGGCCGAGCGGGGTTTCCTCCCTGTCCCTCTGGCGGAAGGCCCATGCTGGGCCATGTCTGAGCTGCGCATTGGAGGGGTCACTCCTGCCATGCTCTCAGACAGTCTGGGCTGCCTGCGATGGGACGGGCTGTGACCTCATGAAACTAAAGTTCGAGGCCCCAGAAGCAGTGCTCCGGGGAAGGAGAGGAAAGGCCCCATCCGTCCGGGCTGCCCTGGGAGCTGCCCGTGCCTTGGCCTTGCAGAGCATGAAAGGCACGATGCTGAGGGGTCCCTGCCTCTCCCTGTGCAGAATTTGCCAAAATCTAACCGCACCACAGCAGGAGGCCGAGGCCAGGCTCTGGCAGGAACGCCTGCTGCCTCAGCAGGCTGCACTCTCCGGCCAGGGCCTCCGGCGGGGCCCAGGGCTGTGGGGGGCACTTAGGGCGTAAATGCTCTTCAGAGGAGACACGACGTCTAGGCCTTTCTAGGACATTCATGTCTCGGTGCCTCATCCCTGGACACCCAACTTGCCCAGAGTTAATGGGGAGGATCGATACTGTGGAGGACAAACATGAGTGAAGGGAGGAGCCGAAACCGGTTTGGCTCAGTGAATAGAGTGTCGGCCTGCGGATTGAAGGGTCTCGGGTTCGATTCCAGTCGAGGGCATGTACCTTGGTTGCGGGCACATCCCCAGTAGGAGGTGTGCAGGAGGCAGCTGATATTTCTAACTCTATCCCTCTCCCTTCCTCTCTGTAAAAAAGCAATAAAATATATTAAAACAAAAAAAGAGTGAAGGGAGGAACCCATTACCCGATGGCATTTGCCCCGAGATGTGTCACAGCACGGATCAGAGACGGACGAGGTCTCCGGCAGCGGTTTGCTAACTCGGAAATCCCTGCACGCTGGAGAGGAACCTGTAGGACTCCCGTCTGGAAGGGCAGTGATGTCAGAGGAACTGCTCCCCTCTCCTCCGGGAATCTCCCCGCGGACAGCGAAGGAACAGGAAGGACCCGCAAATAGAGGTCTTGGGGATGAAGTCATGGTAAGTACTAATTAAAACTAACTCCTGGAAACAAAAACCTACACCAAAGCGTGACAGTAACACAACATACCACTGGGAGCACAGCTGTGGGCATTGCCGTAATGCAGGAGGGCAAGCCGTGGCCCGCTGCGTGGCCCCGTGGTGGAGCGTGTCTGGCCCGGCTGCGGTCAGTGCCCGATGGGCATCACAGGCCTGGGCTCTGCCTTTCTCCTCCGGACGCCAAGCAGGCCCTGCCTTCCTGCTTCCCGGCACAGCCACGGCCGGAGGCTCACTGACCGCCGCCCGAGGGCGGCCGGGCGGGCGGGCGGGAAAGCAGCACATCGCCCCTTCTCGCCCCGGGAAGGGCCGTCGCTGGGGAGCAGGGAGGCCCCGAAGTGAGAGGTGCCGAGAGGAATTTGTCACCGATACCCCGCGCCTCCACTGCGATGAGAAGGTAGAGAAAACGCTAGGCGTGGGTGGAAAGACATCACTCTTTATAAATAGAAGGCTCATCTGTGTCAGTGTTCACATTAGAAAAATACACGCCTTAAACAAGACCCCCTGCATGAACGAAGTAGGTCGGGCTGTGTTCCGACTCCCTCTCGCGGGGCGGCTCTGCGCCTCGGACTCCGGAGGAGGCCCTCCGGCGGCCGGCTGCAGGGCAGGCCGCTCCGCTCAGGCCGCTGGACGAGGCCCGCCTCCCACACTGCGGCCCGGAGGGGACAGGCCGGGCCGAGGGGGACAGGCCGGGCCGGGGGGGACAGGCCGGGCTGGAGGGGACAGGACAGGCCGGGGGGGACAGGACAGGCCGGGCCGGGGGGGACAGGCCGGGCCGGGGGGGGGAACAGGCCGGGCCGGGGGGGACAGGACAGGCCGGGCGGGGGGGGGGGGGGACAGGCCGGGCTGGAGGGGACAGGCCGGGCCGAGGGGACAGGCCGGGCCGGGGGGGACAGGCCGGAGGGGACAGGACAGGCCGGGGGGGACAGGACAGGCCGGGGGGGACAGGACAGGCCGGGCCGGGGGGGACAGGCCGGGCCGGGGGGGACAGGCCGGGCCGGGGGGGGGGGGGACAGGCCGGGCGGGGGGGGGGACAGGCCAGGCCGGAGGGGACAGGCCGGGCTGGAGGGGACAGGCCGGGCGGGGGGGGGGGGACAGGCCGGGCCGGGGGGGGGAGGACAGGCCGGGCCGGGGGGGGGGAGGACAGGCCGGGCGGGGGGGGGGGGGGGGACAGGCCGGGCGGGAGGGGACAGGACAGGCCGGGGGGGACAGGACAGGCCGGGCCGGGGGGGGACAGGACAGGCCGGGCCGGGGGGGACAGGCCGGGCCGGGGGGGACAGGCCGGGCGGGGGGGACAGGCCGGGCGGGGGGGGGGACAGGCCGGGCGGGGGGGGGGGACAGGCTGGGCCGTGGGGGGGGGACAGGCCGGGCGGGGGGGGGGGGGCCGGGCCGGAGGGGGCAGGTCAGGCCTGAGAGGACAGGCCGGGCCGGGGGGGGGGGGGGCGGCAGGCCGGGCCGGAGGGGGCAGGTCAGGCCTGAGAGGACAGGCCGGGCCGGGGTGGGGGGGCGGCAGGCCGGGCTGGAGGGGGCAGGTCAGGCCTGAGAGGACAGGCCGGGCCGGGGTGGGGGGGCGGCAGGCCGGGCCGGAGGGGGCAGGTCAGGCCTGAGAGGACAGGCCGGGCCGGGGGGGGGGGGCGGCAGGCCGGGCCGGAGGGGGCAGGTCGGGCTGGAGAGGACAGGCCGGGCCGGGGGGGACAGGCCGGGTGGGGGGTGGGGACAGGCCGGGCCGGAGGGGGGGGGCAGGCCGGGGCGGGGGGGACCGGCCGGGTGGGGTGGGGGACACACAGGCCGGGCGGGGGCGGGGGCAGGCCAGGCCGGAGGGGGCAGGTCGGGCTGGAGAGGACAGGCTGGGCCGGAGGGGACAGGCCGGGCTGTGGGAAGTCGGGAGAAATCCCTGTCCTGCCCCTGAGACAACCGCTGCTGCCCCCGCTGGTGATCTCCAAGCCACGGCCTCGCCCGCCACCACACTGCAGCGGCCTCTGGTCAGTGTGGCCGGTCCTGAAGGGAGACTGGTCCACGCCCCGCCCGAGCAGACGGCGGAGGCCCGGCTGGGACACGGCTGCAGGGACACGGCTTCCTCTGGCGGAGGGGCCGCCGTGGGCAGGCCTCACCGGCAGCACTGCCGGCCGCTGGTGCAGGTGTCCCTGCCCTGGTGCAGCCCCTCCGGGCAGCAGTGGGGGGCACGGCGGCGGGAGCTCCCTGCGCGCCCTCCGGGGGCTGCACACCGGCTCCGGCTGCCGGCCCGGCCCGCCCGGCTGGTGCCGCCACAGCCCTCCTCAGGGCGGGCCCTCCTCAGGGCGGGGACAGGTCCCGTTTACTGGAGGGACAGACCCTGAGCGGGGAGGGAAACGGGAGTCACCGCGGCTGCCTGCCCCGGGCGCTGCGCCGTGAACGTCCGCTGTACCAGGACAGGCTCGGCTCCCGGCGCAGGCTGGATGGAGCTGTGAGGACAGGCAGACGTGGCAGGGAGCTGGGTCCCGCGGGTCCGTTTCCCCGGTTCTCACGAATGAACCTGCCCCCCCCCCCACGCGCCCCCCTCCCTGACTGCGGACACGGAGAGGCCTCCGAGTCACACCCGCACCAGCGGGCGGCCTGCCAAGCTGGCCCTTAGGAGTTTCCCGAGGTTCTAACATGCCCGGGTTCGAGGTGCCCACTCGGCAGGACTAAGAGCCAGAAGGCGTCTCGGCTGCAAATGCTCCAGCTCAGCTGGCACCAGGCTCGGGTGCTGGGGCCCCTCCTGGCCCACCGCCCACCACCCACCACCCACCACCCGGCGGCTCTTCAACGCGGGACCCAAGGAAACCTCCAGGGCCTGGGGGTTCCTGGGACGCCTGGAGCGACAGGAGGGGGAGGCGAGGCGAGGCCCTGAGAAGCAGGCTGAGCCCGAGGCGTAGTGGCCACCTTGGCATCACCCGTGCTGGCCGCCCGGACGCTCCGACGCCTCGGGGGGCTCCTGGGGCAGAGCTGCCCCTCTGGTCCTTTTCGCTGAAGCCTGTGCCGCCTCTGCCGTCTAGGGAGAGCGGACGGGGACAGTCAGCGGGGACGGAGCAGCAGCCACCTCCCCTCCCGGAGCGGCGCCGAGAGTGAAGTAGCGCCCCCCCCAGCACGCCCCCACACACAGGCAGGCCCCCACCCCCCTCTCCCCCCGCCCCGCCCTCCGCCATGCCCCCTGGCCCACCGCGTTCTCCCTCTTCGGCGGGCTGGCCGCCTCTTGGCCGCTGCACGTGTGTCCAATGCCACCGGGGCGCGTGTCTTCCTTGCGCAGGAATTCCTCCGTGATCCCCAGGGACTCGGCCACCTGAGGCACAGGGTGGGATGAGCTGCGGGGCCCCTGGGCCGAGGCCGCCTGGCGGGAAGGGGGGTCAGGGTGTGGTGCAGAGCCCTGGGAGACGTCGCCCCCAGAGCCGGAGCCCTGCGCTGCAGTCAGGAGGCAGCAGCAGGTTTTTAGAAAAGAACCAAACTCTCTCCAGGGCCACCACAAGCTTGGCAACGCTCGTCTGCTCGCCGCGACTCGGCCCTGCGCCTCCTCTGCGAACCCTCTGTTCACAGAAAGAGTCCTGCCCGTCCCAGAGCCGCCTCCCTCCCCAGTCGTGGGCAGGACGTGGTTTGGGAGCCTGGGAGCCGGCGCTGGCCCTGGCAGCCACCCGGGACCGCGGCCGCTGGGGGTGTGGGGATTTCGCCGGGCTCCTGGGGAAGCAGCGGTGTGACGGTCATGGAGTGTCAGCACGGCCCGAGAGAACACCCAGAGCACGGGGCGAAGAGGGTGGGGCAGACCAAGGTCAGCGGAGAGGCGAACAGTGCCCCCTGCGAACCGTGCGGGACTGAGCGGGCGGGACCGGCTCAAGCGTGGCAGGGGGAGAGGGGGGACCACGTGTACACACTCCTCCAGCAAAGGCTTGTATCCGAAATAACATTTCTATCAGAAACAAACAAACAAGCAAAAACACACACAAAAAAGAAGGAAAAAACAGACAAAAGGCATTTCTGTCAAGAACCCAATATAGCTAAAGGCAATTCGGTGACAATGACGCCGAAATGAGAAATTTGTCAGAACATCGAAGACCTCCGGGCTGTGTGTAACCCCAAATGTACAGAATGAAGGACCCTGTGGACCCATTACCGAGGCCTGGACTCGGACAGCGGGAGGAGGGTCAGGAGGCTGGACCTCGGGCGGATGTGCATTTCCGTGATCCCGAGGCCTGACCGCCTTCCCGCGATGAACAAAGTGACCGCGGCCTGGCCGGCGCCACCACGGAGCCCCGCTCCTCCCAGCGCCTTCCTCCGGCAGAGCGCCTCCCGGCCCTTACCTCGGGGGCCTTGACTTCCAGGGGCTGGGAGCGCGGGCTGGGGTCCCGGAGGTAGTGCTGACACATCTGCTTCACCGCCTGGTGCAGCTCCTCAAACTCCCTGTACACGGCTGGGAACGCGGGCTGTGCCGGGCGGCCGCGCTCAGCCTGAGCGAGGAGAAAGGCCCAGCCGTCACCCGGGAGGCAGGAGACGGTCCCTCGGCCCCGCCCAGGCCTGTCCCCGGGGTTCCCTCTCGGCCCAGGGAGCCCGTGTGCCAGCCGCGCCCGCAGCGCTCACCGGGCTGGGAGCCAGGGACGCAGTAGGCCTGAGGATGGCGCTGCTCCGGCCAGAGGGCGGCCTCCGCTCCCGGCTGCTGCACGGTGTGCGGTGTGGGTGAGGGTGTGCACGTGGGTGTGCGGTGTGGGTGAGGGTGTGCAGTGTGGGTGTGCGGTGTGGGTGAGGGTGTGCAGTGTGGGTTGTGGGTGTGCGGTGTGGGTGTGCACGTGGGTGTGCGGTGTGGGTGAGGGTGTGTGGTGTGGGTGTGCCTTTGGGGTGTGCGGTGTGGGTGTGGGGTGTGCCTATGGGGTGTGCGGTGTGGGTGTGGGGTGTGCCTATGGGGTGTGGGTGTGGGTGAGGGTGTGCACGTGGGTGTGGGTGTGGGTGAGGGTGTGTGGTGTGGATGTGGGGTGAGGGTGTGCAGTGTGGGTGAGGGTGTGCGGTGTGGGTGTGGGTGTGCCTTTGGGGTGTGCGGTGTGGGTGTGGGGTGTGCCTATGGGATGTGGGTGTGGGTGTGTGGTGTGTGCAGTGTGGGTGTGGGGTGTGCGGTGTGGGTGAGGGTGTGTGGTGTGGATGTGGGGTGAGGGTGTGCAGTGTGGGTGTGCCTTTGGGGTGTGGGTGTGCAGTGTGGGTTGTGGGTGTGCGGTGTGGGTGTGGGTGCAGGGCCCAGGCACAGCATCAGAGTGGGCTCACCAGGCTCAGAGCCCGATGGAGGAGGCCACATGGGGGAGCCCCGAGTGGAGGGAGCCAGTGCGGGTGGGAGGGCGGGTGCCAGGTGTGCTGCTGCCCTCGGGGCTCCCACAGAAGCTGACCTGCCCGGCGCCTGGGCCGGCAGCAGTCACAGCTCTGTCCGCGGGAAGGACTGCAGGAGGCGGGCTCTGACCTAACGGGCGTCTCTATAGGGGCCGGTCACCCAGCCGGCCAGGAACTCGCCTTCTTCAGGAGGAACTGGTACACGGTCACGGCCTGCGCCAGCCGGGGCAGCGCCAGCTCCACGAGGTCCGCGCGCGCGCACCGCTGCAGAACCTACCGGAAGAGAACCTCGTCAGCCAGCAGCTGGTGCCGCAAGAACTTAAGGATTTGAGAAGGTCCCCAATCTCAGGGACGAAGCCACTCTACGCCACGGACGCCCGCTTCATGAACTCTTGTGCCCGTAAACAAAACCCTGAGATCCGCCCAGACCCAGAGCCTGACTCCTGACAGCCCTGAGTGGCGCGGATCCGGGTTCTGGATGAGGACATGGCGGCGGGAGACGCGCGCCCCCTCCAGGGCTCCGGCTCACCAGCCCGAGACAAAAAGGCACAGAAATCCCAAGCCTGCCAGTCAGAACCCCCCGCAAAGCATGGTGGGAGAGGAGGGGGACCAGGTGACAGGCAGACAGGACCCCCCAAAGCACGGTGGGAGAGGAGGGGGACCAGGTGACAGGCAGACAGGACCCCCCAAAGCACAGTGGGAGAGGAGGGGGACCAGGTGACAGGCAGACAGGACCCCCCAAAGCACGGTGGGAGAGGAGGGGGACCAGGTGACAGGCAGACAGGACCCCCCAAAGCACGGTGGGAGAGGAGGGGGACCAGGTGACAGGCAGACAGGACCCCCCAAAGCACGGTGGGAGAGGAGGGGGACCAGGTGATAGGCAGACAGGACCCCCCAAAGCACGGTGGGAGAGGAGGGGGACCAGGCGACAGGCAGACAGGACCCCCCAAAGCACGGTGGGAGAGGAGGGGGACCAGGTGATAGGCAGACAGGACCCCCCAAAGCACGGTGGGAGAGGAGGGGGACCAGGTGACAGGCAGGGCAGGGTGGGGGGAGCATCTGGGAGGCAGCAGGGAGGGTGCAGTCCCAGGACTGACGGACTGCTGGAATGGGGAGGGTGCATGAGGGAAAGAAGAGCCATGGGTGCTCTGGGTCCCCGGCTGAGCTCTGGGCAGACCCTGGCAAGGTGGGCGGATGGGAACCAGCTGTGGGATGTTTGAAATCGAGGCTGAAGCGCCAGAGAGGTCTGAACAGGCGGTACGGATTCGGACATGGGAGCCAGCTGGAGCCCTGAGGCCTGGGAGGTGGACGAGATCAGCCAGGGCAGCAGTAAGGGGGCAGGGAGCAGCAAGCCCTGGAGGCAGGAAGGCCCCGAAGCTCGGGGAGGACATGGCTCAGGGAGGCCGAGGAGCAACCAGCCGGAGCCCAGGCTGGCAGGGTCAGCCCAGCAGTGGCTCAGAAAGTCACAAAAGCAAAAGGAAGGCCTTTGGCATGCAGGACAAGGTGCTGAACTGTGACTTGCAAAAGGCCGAGTGAACAATGGCCAGCTGGCTTCCTACACTCCAGGCGGCATGGCCGGTGTGGGTGGTATGACCGTGGCATGGCCTCACCACACCTGGCCTGCAGCAGCCAGGCCCCCTCCCTCTCTGGATCGTCCCTGGCGGGGGTGCTGTCGTCCCCTCCACACCCAGGACAGGCCGATCCGTGCAGACAACGGCGTGAACTCCAGCGCCTGGTTTGAGGGCCTCGCTGCGAGTCAGGGTGCGGCCGGCAGGCCTTGGCTTCCCGTGCCACCTCGCTAACTGGGAAGGACCATCGTGTTCAGTCCCCCTCACTCTGAGCGGCCGGCCGAGCGGACACCAAACAGCCAAGATCCAGTTCCAGACCTGCCACCTCGGGGCCTGTGGGAGGCGCAGCCCCGGAGCCCCAGCTCCTCGCGGGAAGCCGAGGTGAGCAGCATCAGGAGCGCACAGGAGCCCAGCACGAGGCGGGGCCACGGCTGGCTGTGCAGAGGGCTGGGGGGGAGAGGGGGCGAGGCTAGTGTGACTCTAGTGAGTGAGTCCAGCCAAGGCCTGCCTTCCTCCTACGATCAATAAACAAGCCCGGGCCCAAAGCCCCGCCCCAGGCTCACCTTTCCCACGAGAACCGGAACTCGTGGAGCTTTCCAGGAACCTCCTTCCTGTGAAACCTCTTCCTCCCCTGTGCACGGAGCCCGTGGCACTGGCTGACCTCAGCCTCTGGCTGGCTCTCACTCCCTAAGTCTTATACAGGGGTCCTCAAACTTTTTAAAGTGGGGGCTAGATCACAGTCCCTCAGAGAGCTGGAGGGCCGGACTATATGAACTACTAATTCCTACTGTAACACCTCGGCTGCGCTCACTGCCCAAAAAACCTGGCGGGCCGGATCAGACTCCTCTGCGGGCCGCATGTGGCCGGCGGGCCGTAGTTTGAAGACGCCTGCAAGACATCGGCCGTCCGCCGTGACCAGGCAGGTACATGTGTCCTGGCCAGAGGCAGCCTGAGGAAGTCCCACGTTTCCCGGTTAGGCCAGCTAAATTCAGTGCACCGCCCTCGCTGGTGTGGCTCAGTGGACAGAGCGCCGGCCTGCAGACTGAAGGGTCCTGGGTTTGATTCCGGTCAAGGGCACGTGCCCTGGTTGCAGGCTCCATCCCCCGTGTGGGGCATGCAGGAGGCAGCCGATCCATAATTCACTCTCATCATGGATGTTTCTATATCTCCCTCTCATTTCTTCTCTGCAATCAATAAAAAAATATATTGTTATTTTATTTATTTATTTTTAAAATACATTTTATTGATTATCCACAGAGAGGAAGGGAGAGAGATAGAGAGTTAGAAACATCAATGAGACAGAAACATCGATCAGCTGCCTCATGCACACCCCCTAACCAAGGTACATGCCCTTGACCGGAATCGAACCTGGGACCCTTCAGTCTGCAGGCCGACGCTCTAACCATAAAAGTATTTTTTAAAAAGAAAATAAATAAACTCAGTGCACCTACTTTCCAGGGCTGGGTTGGAGATTCCCAGACTCAAAACCTGAAACATGCTTTTATATCTTTGCAACTTATCCCAGTAACAACAACAAAAATTATTTCTGTTGTTTTCTAAATGGCTTCCTTGAAAGCACGGGTTAGAATTTTCCAGAGTGTGTAAGGCACGCAGCTCTCGCTATAGGTGAGGGTCCGTTCACACAGGGCAGCCGGGCGGCTCCAGGAAATGCCCTGGAAGTGACTGCGTGCGTCCGGCCAGCACACTCCGGGGAACTGCACACCCACCCGGGATTTCACCCACAAATTCCGACGCCTCATGGCGAATCGCCGCATCCCACGCCAACCAGAGTTCACAGGCGGAAGCGGACATACCTCCCGGAGCCCGGCTCTGCTCCTGGCAGCCCGGCTCCGGCCCTCGGGGGCCGGGGGGTAGCCCCTTTCCGGTCCTGGGTGTCTCTCTGACTCCCAAAGGGCCGAGTGCCGTCCATCTGCTGGCTCCGACACCGACGCCTCTTCCGCTTCTATAGGCCCACCGTTCTGGATGGCGTTGGGAGGGCGACAAGGGGAGACGTGCGCAGGTGTCACTGCCGCTGCCCAGGAGGCACCCGTGGGCCGCTGCCCCAATCCCGACCTTTCCCAAGACGCACTGCCAGCTGGAGTGCGCTGCGCAGACTTACGACCACTTCGGAGGCACTCGCTGCCCACCAGGCTGCCAGGGCAGACACCTCCCTTCCCCGCAGCGGGCCCACGGGGGCCTCAGATCCCCCCGGAGAGGACTGGGTTCTGCCTGAGCCTTCCTGAGCCCCTCACACACCACAAGGCCGCTTTGAGGAGGACAGTAACAAGGACCGGCCACCAGCGAGCATCCTTACCTGCAGGCTGCCCCGAGCCGGCCGGGCCCCTCCGGCTCTCAGAGGAGCTGGTGGGGCCCGCCCCGGGGACGCGGGACCCCGGGGCCTGCCCTCCGCACAGCCCCGGGCCGAGCTCCCCGTGGCTTCCTCAGACAGTGCCGGCTCCGGCTGGGGCTCCGGCTGGGGCTGGCCGTGGCCCGGCTGCAGTCTGAAGTGCCGGGCCAGCCCGCCCTTCCCGATGTAAGACTTCCCACACGCCTGACACCGGAAGGCTCGGGGCCTCAGGGAGCCGCTCGGCAAGTCAAAGAGTGCCTGCTTGTCCCTCTGCTCCTCCTCCTCTTCCACACTCAGTTCCGAATAATCGTCCGAGTCGGAGGGGTGGCTGTCGGCCAGATCCTCCATCCTTATGAATTTATAATCTTTGGCTTTGTGCTTGGGAGGTCGAGAGATCCGCCCAGAGCGTGTTTTCACTTTCAAAGATTTCTTTAGTTTCTCAGTGTGTTTTGTATGAAAGTTGGAAATAAATAAATTTGCTGAACTGGATGACACAGATGTTGCTGCCGGTGGGCCGGAGGCTGCCCGAGGGGTGGATGTGGCGCCCGGTCCATCTGGCGCCTGGGGGGCCACAGGCCTCACCGTAGGGACCAGCTGGATGGCGGGCAGTGGCCTCTGGAGCAGCACCTGGACAGGAGGCTGCGGCCCAGTGCTCAGGGGAGGCTGTGCCCTGAGCAGCCGAGGGCTGGCGACGCTGAGCCCCAACACATGGCAGGGCCTTCCGGGCGGCTGGCCCAGCCGGGCTGTCCCGGGATGGACGGTGGCCAGCTGGGGCTTCGGCCTTTCCTGACCTCTCGTGTCTCCAGAAATTACCGTGACACAGATGGGTCCCAGTTGCTGAAAGAGAAAAGCATTTAGCTTATCAATTTTGCTCTCATCTTAAATCCACCATTGACATTTTTCTACATTATAAAATGCACCGGCCTCGGGGCTGAGTTGCTTGGGTGTGGCTGCATGCACCAAAAGGCTGCCGGTTCAGTTCCAGGCAGGGTGCGGCCAGGGTTCTGGGCTCCATCCTTGGTTGGGAGTGTGAAAGGCAACTAGTCAGTGTTTTAGTCTCACACTGATGTTTCTCTCTCTTTCTCCTTCCCTCCCCCTCTCTCTTATTATCAATACAAAAATCTTTAAAAATATAACATTATGCCCTACCGTCATGGCTCAGTGGTTCAGCAGTGACCTATAAATCAGGAGGTAATGGTTCAATTCCATCAGGGCACATGCCCGGGTTGTGCGCCCCATTCCCAGTGGGGCAGGAGGCAGCCAACCAGTGATTCTGTCTCATCATTGACATTTCTAATTCTCCATCTTCGTTTCTCTCTGAATTCATAAAAATGTATGAAAAAATAAATAAGATTATAAAATACATGTCAGGTATATTAAAGACATGTAATATAGGTATCCAAAAAATATACACACACACTTTGAATTATAAAAGCAGTGCTTACTCAAATACATTTCATTTTTGAAATTGAGCTGTCAACTGTTGACGTGTATAGTTTTTGGGACAGCCTGCATATCTGTACTGTTCAGAGTGATGTTTCTGAACCTTTCTGACCAAAATGTGACAAGTGATACATTTCTCACACCCATAGGTTAGTGTAGAAACGTTTGCACATCCCATCTAATAAAGAGGGACTATGCTAATTGCCCCTCATGCTGTTGCAAAGATGGTGGCACCCACAGGCAATGAATGAATATGCTAATTGACTGCCACACCCTCAAAGATGGCAGTGCCCACAGCCACAATGTGGCAGGGCCCGGTCTCATCAGCCCCCCCAGGGCAGCAGGTGCCTGGCCGCTCCATGCACCTGCCTCCGGAGTCCCCCAGCGGCCCAGGGCTGCCTGAGGCTCAGGTATCCAGGGTAGGCTGAGGCTTGCACTACCAGCAGCAGCAGAGGAGTGATGGAGCGTCACCTTCCCCTAATCATTGGGTCACCTCCCACCCCTGAGGGCTCCCAGACTGTGAGAGGGAGCAGGCCGGCTGAGGGACCCCCTCCAGTGCAGGAATTTTCATGCTCCGGGCCTCTAGTAAACAACAGAAGTGCAACCCTCTAGTTTCAGAACTACCACGAAACAAAAATGGCCTAAATTTTTAATCTGCTGTGGACCCTGGTTTACCATGTGGGTATCACACTGGCTACTGCGCTACCTGTTTGCTTCATTTGGCGGATTTTCTAAGTCTCTCTGGGGGCCAGCGTAAACATAAGCAAAGCCCTGCCTTCCTGGAGGAGGCGGGCAGTTCCCTGCCCTGCCTCAGTCACCCGAATCCGGACCTCCTGCCCCAAGTCTGTCCTTTCAACAGCTCCACTGCTGACTCCGAAGGCGGAGAATTCCCTAAGGAACGCAGACAGGAAAGCAATGCCACTGCCGCCCTGGCGCACAGGTGCAGGGGGGCTTCCCAGGAGAGAGGACCTCTGGGGGCGGGGAGGGAGGGAGGCAGAGGCTGAGTAGAATTTTTCCAGGCGGGAAGCTTTTCTACGTGCAAGAAAAGCAGGGCCAGCGAATAGAGAAAGCTCGCAGTGTTCCTGCAGGGCAGGAACGAGAGGGACGGGAACAGCCTGACCCGGGGGGTGTCCACTGGGTCTGTGCCTCCTGACCCACGCCACCCCACAGAGAACCACCTTCTCTAAATGCACCCCCCCACCCAGCATGCTGCTCCTCTTTCTCATTTTCAACGCACCCCCTTCCCAGTCTAGTGCGGACACCACCTCTTCCACAACGGCTCTGACCCCTCAGCCAGAAACCCTTCCCTAACCCATTTAGTCCTGACCTGTGCCTCAGGCTTTCTTTTCTTTAAATGTTCTTATTGCTTTTAGAGAGCGGGGAAGGGAGGATAGAGAAAGTATGTGCCCTGACTGGGAACCTATCCAGTGACCTCTTGGTTCATAGGTTGATGTTCAACCACTGAGCAACACGGACAATGTGCCCCCAGCTTTCTGACTGTGATCAGAAGCTATGAGTGTTTTACCCCCTGGTTAGGTTATTACCCCCTTAGGGGCAAGGGGCACATCTTGCTTGCCTCTGAGGCACAGCTGTGGTGCAGAGTATTAGCTGAACAGGCCGCACAATCATATTATGATTTCAGGTAGAATTTACATCCTCCCTTGAAATATGAATGTTTATTGCATGTAACAGTATATTTAAAATCGTTTTTCTTGAAATATTAAAAAATATTTAAAAATTATTTTTTAAAAACCACATACACAGAAATTTATCTTCTCCCAATTAGGTGAGCTACAGAGCACAATCGTGCCTCCTCACTCTGGTTCAGTTTGCTTTCATTTGGTGGAAAATGCCATTTTTGGACTCTTTCCTAAGTTGCCATAACAAACCTAGAAAGCGGTGGCCGCATTCACAGGCCCTGGAGTGCAGCCTCACCAGGGACCCTGGGCAGTCACCTAACCCCGTGGTCGGCAAACTGTGGCTTGTGAGCCACATGCTTTGGCCTCTTGAGTGTGGCTCTTCCACAAAATACCATGGCCTGGGCGAGTCTATTTGGAATAAGTGGCGTTAGAAGAAGTTTGTTTTAAAAATTAGGCTCTCAAAAGAAATTTCGGCCGAAACTGGTTTGGCTCAGTGGATAGAGTATCGGCCTGCGAACAGAAGGGTCCCAGGTTCGATTCCGGTCAAGGGCATGTACTTTGGTTGTGGGCACATCCCCAGTAGAAGGTGTGCAAGAGGCAGTTGATAGATGTTTCTCTCTCATTGATGTTTCCAGCTCTCTCTCTCTCCCTTCCTCTCTGTAAAAAAGTCAATATATTAAAAATTTTCCCCCAATCGTTGTACTGTTGATATTTGGCTCGTTGACTAATGAGTTTGCCGACCACTGACCTAACCTCTCTAAACTCGTGCCTCATCCATAAAACGCTGACACAAACCCGTGTGTGTGGCTGCTGAGCCACACTGTGCACACGCAGCACGGGGCCAGGCCCGGAGCAGCGGCTGCAAAGGACAGCCACCCTCCCTCTGACTGCGCAGACTTGCTGTGCCCAGCACATGCGGGAGGAAGCAGTTTGGGCAGAATGGTACTTGTCTCCCAAACTTTAGCTAGACAACTCTCCAGTCTCCACGAGGAACTGGGTACAGCTCCCAGAAGCCCAAGTCACCAGGTGGTGGTGGTGGTGGGTGAGGGGCGGGGGGCCTGGACTATGAGGACTGGGACTTCAGCTCTCGCCCAGTTCCAGGAAGAGGCCTCCTGCGCTTACAGCCCGGCGCTGAGAGGGGACGTGGGCTTCGGGACAAAACCGTCTCATTCCCAACTTCCCCGCGATCCCAGCGTGGTACCTGGAAATAACGCCACTGGAAAGGAGGCGTGGTGCAGCATGTTTTGCATGTTTCACTCATGAAGTGTATGGCAGGCGCTGTGCAGAGACCGAGTTGCAAACCCAGGCCCTCCTACTGCAGGCGCTGGTCCCGCGCCGTCGGAAGGGACTTAACTCTGCACGGCCGGCCGGCCGGGGGCTCCGGGAGGAGCTCCGCCTGTGAGCCGGGCGGCCCCGGCCCCGGCCCCGGCCCCGGCCCCGGCCCCGGCCCCGGCCCCGGCCCCGGCCCCAGCCCCGGGAGGCAGAGGATCAATGGTCCTCTCTCCCTCCATCTCTGAAATCAATAAAAAACGAACTTTTTGAAAAGGAATGTACTTAATTCTGTCCCGAGTCGCAGGTCTCGGCGTTGGCTCCTTTGAACCTCTGTCTCCGGTCCGGCCAGGCCTGCGCAGGCTCTCGGCGCCCGGCCCGGCGGCCCGGCGGCCCGGCACCTCCGGCGAGGGCGCAGGGCGCGGCGGGGCGGGCGCGGGAGGCTCCGGCCGGGCGCGTGGGAGCCGCGGCCCGAGAGCCCGCGAGCCCCCCAGGGAGTGCGGGCGGGGCCCCGAGCCTGCCCGCGGGCGCAGGTGGCTTCCCGGCGGCGCGGTGCCGGCCGTTCCCACGTCCCCCGGCGCCTCACCTGCGGCGGCGGCGGCGGCGGCGGGCGCGCGAGCTGGGCGCGGGGCCCCGGCTGCGGGGCGGCCCGCGGGGCGGAGGGCGGCGGCCGCGCCTGCGCCACCTGCTCCAGCACCCGCCGCAGCTGCTCCGGGCCCAGCGGGGCCAGGCGCGAGGAGCCGCCGCTCCGGCCCGGGGGCCCCGGCTCGGAGCCCGCCATGGCGTCCGACGCGGGGACTCGAACCGGGGCCGCCGCGCAGACTGGCCTCTCGGGAAAGGGGCGGCTACGAGTGCCGGGCGGGCCAAGAAGGCTCGGAAGGCGACCGCGAAGGGAGACGGCGGTGGGCGGGGTCTGGCGTGGCCCCGCCCCTCGCTGCCCCAGCGCCGGAAACAGCCAACCACCGCCTTGCCCTCTCCTGCAGGGGCACCTCCCGCGGCTTCTCAAAGCTGCTCAGAGGAAAAACTTTCCTCCCGCCATCAGGTCCGCAAATTAAACGGACAAGAGACAGATTAACTGGAACAAAGACAGAGGGTGATCGTGTTTTTATTCCTGTGCCTACCAGCATTCACAGAAAGAAATGACTCCAAGAGGCAGAGAGTGGGGCGCGTACCCCATGTTAACGGGGGAAGGGAAGGAGGGCCCTGGGGAGACAGGTGGCTGAGGGGCCGGTGAATAGGCCTTACACGGCAGGTGCGGCTGTGATGGTTTGGACAATGCCCCTTTAGGTGTCCTGGGTTAGTCTTTCCTGATCGCTCCCGGGGAAGGCCTTTAAGGGCAGTTTAATTCTTCTGAGTCCCTTTTGGGAGGCTCTGCTTTTTTAGGCAGAAAAGGCTGTTCAGGAATTCAAATGCCTTTTGCTCAAAATATTTTTTACGACACAAAGGCATGTTCTGGACCCCTTCACGCCTCGTTCAAGAAAGTGTGCACTCCGAGGGCAGCGGTCTCGGCTGCCTCCTCCTCTGTGTGTCCCTGCATCGAACCAGGAGCCTGACTCAGACATCCAGGATGTGACATGTAGCTCGCGTGCAGGAGCCCAAGGCCAGGCCCCCTTCTAGTTACAGATGTTCTCACTAAAGATTTTATTTTTTAAAAAAATTATATATATATAATTTTTTAATATATAATATATATATTATTGATTTCAGAGAGGAAGGGAGAGGGGGAGAGAGAGACAGAAACGTCAGTGATGAAAGAGAATCATTGATTGGCTGCCTCCTGGATGCCCATTCTGGGGAGCGAGCTCACAGTCCCAGCATGTACCCTTGACCTGAATCAAACCCGGGACCCTTCAGTCCGCAGTCCCACCCTCTCTCTATCCACTGAGCCAAGCCAGGTAGGGCCTCACTGGAAATTTTTCAAAGATGTCTGGAACCCTTGCTCTAGACCCTGATATAAAAGGTCACTGACCTTGTTCTTACCAGTTTGGCTCAGTGGCTAGAGCGTCAGCCTGTGAACTAAAGAGACCCAGGTTCGATTCTGGTCAAGGGCATTTACTTTGGTTGCAGGCACGTGTTTCTAACTCTATCCCCCTCTCTTTCTGTAAAAAGTCAAAATACATTTTAAAAATAAATTACATCTTCCCTTAGGGTTTTATAAACAAACAAACAAACAAACAAACAAATAAATAAAAGGACATTGTCTTTAAAATCGTTGCTCCATGGTTGTGCATCGATTGACCTATGAACCAGGAGGTCATGGTTCAGTTCCCTGTGAGGGCACATTCCCTGGTTGAGGGCTTGATCTCCAGTAGGGGGGGTGGGAAGTTCTCTCTCATCGTTGATGTTTCTCTCTTTCTCTGCCTCTCACCTTCCCCTCTGGAATCAATAGAAATATGTCTGTGTGTGTGTGTGTTTTAAGCTGGCTTTTGCTAATTAGGCAGAAAAGGCCTGAACAGCCTTTTCTGCCTAATTAGCTTTTGCTAATCTGGCTTCCGTAGCCATCTGGCTGCAAAGTGCAGAACCAGGAGGAAGAAAGGTGAAGCCGAAGATCTCTCTGAAAAAAAAAAAAAGGCAAAAAAATGGCAAGAGGCCCTGGACCTGGCGCCGTCCTGATGCCTCCAGGTGGACCCCCAGGTCAGGCTCACACGCCAATCTCACTGACCCCGGGCGCCGCCTGGAAAGCAGGCCGGGCAGCTCGCTGTCTCCGTGCGGCTGGCGGGGTGGCTTCCCTTTCTGTGCGGGACCCGGCCCTCCACGCCGGCTGGGGGTGCACTCATCCCTCTCAGAGCCCCGGACACTGGGCTCGCCCCAGGGCCCTCGGAGCGGGGCATTGGGAAGAGCTTCCAGGAAAGGCCCTAAGGGCGGCCGCGGGGTGCGGCGCTTGGGGACCTGGGTAGCCGGTCACTGACAGCACGCGTGCGGGTCCTGCCCTCCCTGCTGCGACACGTTCGAGGCGGAGTCCGGGATGATTGCGCGACTCTCTCCTGGTTGCGCCCGGTTTACAGATCTCAAAAGGCTTATTTTGAAATATGCTGTAAAAAGTAAATAAATAAAAGTAAAATCAGTAACTGGATTTTTGCTAAAAGGAGCTGCCCTGGCCCGTACGGGGATCGAACCCGCGACCTTGGCGTTATTAGCACCACGCTCTAACCAACTGAGCTAACCGGCCAGCAGGAGCCAGGCGGGCGCCACTACGCCTATGAGGGGTCTGCGCCTGCGCTCCCGGCCGGCTCCGGGGCGGCTCCCTCCCTCTCCCGCGGCGCTGCCGTCACTCCCGCGGCCGGGAAAAGCGGAGGCTGGGCTATGCTTTCCGGCGGGAGGCAGGCGGCTTCTTCCAGCGAACGGAGTCTTCACGGGAAAATGCAAATTGCCTTCACTCGGGAGAAAGGCTTCCAACACTGCAACTCACGCTAGTTTTACCTCCCAGAACCCTTGCGGCGGGGAAAGAAACTTCGTGCATCCAGAGCGTTCGCTTTGGCTAAATAAAGCTTAGAAAGTAACAGGAAACCCGAGAAGGGACAAAAGAACCACCGACTTTCCCACCGCCCGCTAACCACCGCGGCTGGGACCATGGCATCCTTCCTTCCATTCCCCCCCACACTGTACAGACATGCACAGGGTGTCCCCCCAAAAGTATACAGATTTAACAGCTCAAGCTCAATTGATGTTTCTATCTTTTCAGATTTAACCCACAGGCATATATCATTATTCTAAGTGTGTATACATTTTTGGGAAACTGTGTGTGTGTGTGTGTGTAATATTTATAATTCAATATAACCTTGCTTAAGATATCATTTTTAAAAAATATATATTTTATTGACACTTTACAGAGAGGAGGAAGGAAGAGAGATAGAGAGCTAGAAACATCCATGAGAGAGAAACATCTACCAGCTGCCTCTTGCACACCCCCTACCAGGGATGTGCCGGCAACCAAGGTACATGCCCTTGACCGGAATCAAACCCAGGACCCTTCTGTCCACAGACCGACGCTCTACCACTGAGCCAAACCGGTTTCAGCAAGATATCATTTTAATCTTGTTTTTTACTTAGTATTCTATCCTAAGTCCATCCCTAAATAATTGCAAATGCCATTTTAAACGGTTCTTCCCCCTTTTATACCGTCTGGAAATGTCTTCGTTTGCCCTCTGATTAACTCGCACAGGAGTAAATCCTGGGTGTGCAACCGACAATATTCACTCCGAAGAGCCACGGTCTGCAGGCAGTGCAATAAAGCAGAGAGAACGTGTTAGGGCGGAGTCCACACACTTGTTGGCTCCTCAAACCTGTGTGTCCCAGGGGCCACGCTCTCTAGGGGCCTGAGGTCCCCACTCTGGTCTGAATGCTCACAAAGCTGCTCCCAAGCCCGTGTTCCATCAGTCCCCGCGTGAGCAGAAAGCCCAAGTCTGCCTCAGCTCAGCTGAACAGACTGAGTAGAAAGAATGTCAGGATGGGCACCTGGAAGGTGAGAGGCCCCGGCTTAGACAAAAGGCTACTCCGTAAAAAAAAAAAAAAGACATTAAGCCCGATAGTGCCCTAAACCCGGGCAAACAGCCGGAGTAAAATAGGTGACCCAGCCCACTGGGGGTTAGCAATGGCGGGGTCAGAGGGGTGGAGCGCTCGGACTGTGCTCAGGGCCTGTGAAGAAAGCGTGCTGGTCACGGAGGGCTGGGCAGACTCCAGAGACGGCGACACTTGACAGTGTTCTGAAGGACCACGGTGGGTAATTGTGGATCAAAGTGGGCAGAGCCCTCTGGGCAGAGGGAACTGCTGGTGATGACAGGCATCCTCTCCATTGGCTTACCTCTGAATGCCCAGAGCACGGCACGGCCTGCAGCAGTACATGTTTAATAACAGGAGGCAGATGGATGGATGAGCTCATTTAAAAAATCTGACATTTTACAACATAGTCATTGCTCTGTGCAAACTCTCCACTTATGGCCAGGCCCTGATCTGATGGCCAGATTTAGCAAAATAATTCATATGTGTTAATGCAATATTTGGGACATACTTATACTAAACTGGTACTTGTGTATCTAAAATTCAACTTGAACTAGAAGTACTCTGTTTTATCGGACAACCCTACACCAGAGCAGCAGCCCTTGGAAAGAAGCCATCTAAGAGGGGGGGCTGTCCAGCGGGGTCTGGGTGCGGGGGCAAGGTGAGAGAAGAGGCTCACGGAGGCTTTGGTGGGAGGATGGGAAACGGTGTGCTGAGCATTTAGGGTTGGCGGTGTCTTGGGACATCCAAGCTGGAACAGGTCTGGAGGCTCCCAGGGAGGCCTGGGCTAGAGGTGCTCCCAGCCTCGGGGAAGATTGCAGGGAAAGCTGTGGGTGTGCACCAGCTGGTCTGGGGCTGGGGGAGGGGTGATAACAGATGGGGTGCACTCATTGGTGAGTCCCATGGAGCACCTGGTCCTCAGAGGGATGGGTGTAGCTAGTGTGGTGGCTGAGGGAGGGAAGTTCAAAGAGGAAAGTCACTGGGTGGATGCCCAGAGGTGCCATGGGGCTGAGGAGCTGTGGGAGGCAGGCAGACCAGTTGGCAAGTCCCTGCCAAGACCCAGGGACGGGGTGTCGGGGTCCTGGGATGAGAACAGTCAGCTAAGAGGGCGGCAGATCCCAGACCCATTCCCAATTCAGGGGAGCTACCACATGTGGGAAGCAGAGAGAGGAGGGGCCCCCCCTGCACCACAGGCTTTGGGCTTCTGTGATGGACAGCTGGTGCCTTGGGTAAGCAGGGAGCCCAGAGGAGGCAGGGGGAGAGGGGGAAGCCTGCAGCCCGGGCAGGGGGTCCGAGGCAGCCGACCTCAGGCCTGAAGCTCAGGAGTGGTCAGTGCTAGGGGAGCAGGTGGTCAGCCCTGCAGAGGGGGTGGGGTGA